GAGAGTTGGGGTTGAATCAACACAATGATGTGTCTTTCCAGTTAGGCTGGTAGTTGTGCACTTGCTTAATATGCCTTTGAGGCTTCTCAAGAGGATTACTGCCTCTCTGCACTATAAAACCCAATAAGAAATGAATACAAGATTGTTGCAGTACTAAGTTTCATTCCTTGAACACCAAGAGAACACCCTCAACTAATGGGAATTGTACAAAGCATCAATATATACAAAAGCCTCACAACAACGAATAAGTGCTCTCTCTGTATTACCGGACATCATCTATCCACTCTATTTTCACTCTGAAAATGAAAAGAAAAAGGAGTTAATATAGACAGAGTTGACCAAATTCTGTATTTTAGTATTCTAAGCTATTAACAGTTCCGATTACTTTGATTTTATTCCCAGTTCGGCTTTCTATTAAAACTTTCCTACTCTGTTTTAAGAGAGACCCAAACCATCTTAGAGTAGTCATCTATAATAGACATAAAATCTTTTACCCATATTGGTTTGCATACTAGCTGGTCAATCTCCTATGCCAAAGACGAGAATTGATGTAGGACAATCCTATTTAAATATGATTGGTTTTATCGCATTTTTGCCTTCTTTCCTATTCCTTTTTTTTCTTTTCTTATTTAGATAAAATTCCTTTTTCTTTTTTTATTAGAATAGGATTTCTTCTACTTTTTTTTTAGATTAGGATTTTGTTTCCTTTCAAGATTTTGGTTTTCTTTCCTTTTACAATTTTAGATTAGTCTGCTTCTATTAGCAAGATTAGTGAATTATTTACACACATAAATAAAGGTTTTGTATGTTTTTCAAAAGTTTTAATCCTTCTAGTATGCAAGAAAGCAATTTTTCTTTAGCAACAAATTTGGTATTAGAGCAAGGTTTTTCATGGGTTGAAGGCTACCTATGGTGGTAGTGGTAAGCATCCTTGTGACGATGATCGGAGGATTGAAAAATTTTCAATATTAGTTTAAAATACAGAATGAACGATAGATATGTTTAAAGTATCAATTGACAAGAATTTGCAAGCTTTGGCTTCTATGAATGTTTTTAGCTTCAATAAACCTAGAATACAGCTAAAAGTGGCTAGAGAGTACAGCTAAGTGAATACACACAAGTTAATAGGGATTCTGCGAAGGTATATTGAGGAGATAAAGAGCCCAATTTAAAGCGAGAAAGATTTTTAGAATACAATGTACTATCAATAACAAAGTATGCTACGTGATAATAAACTGTGAGAGTAGTGAGAACATGGTATCCAAAGCATTGGATGAAGTTTTAGATTTGATGACCGAAAAATATTCATCTTGTTGTGTTCATAAAAAGGAGAGATGGTTGGCATCTCCCCCGTCGGGATGGGAACGGCCTTCAGGCTTAACCTGTTACCATACACATCCGGTTAAGGCTACCCACTTCGGTGGATCTGTAACCCATTTTTCCTATAAAAAAAATATTCATCTTGTTATCAAGTTCCACCAGTTAAAAGGGAGAAAGAATTCAAAATGTGGAATACTATAAAGATGAGATTGTATAATGTGGTCGAGATGGACGGTTGTCATGTACTTTAAGGATAACCATTGTACTATGATGTAGATGTAACTTACATAGATCGAGATAACATATGTTTTGGTGGTATGTTTAAAAGATTGTTTTGTTGTCACGTAATCAACAATTTTGGAATACCAGTGTAAAGAAAGAGCAAGACTTATGAGACAGCTGATAAGGTAAAAATGATGTCATTGAAGTTGATCATGATTTTACCAACTATGATATTACAATAGAGATGAAAAAGCACCTGTAAGTTGAAATCCCGAGACCTACCTATTATTCTACATGAAAAAATTGACAATTAATACAAGTGCAAGGATAAAAATGAAAAACTCAAGGAGAAATTGCAATTGAAGATCCTAATATCGAGCCACACTTTGATATAAGTTGAGGTTCAGAAGTGTCCAGCAAAAGAAATTGAAATTAAACTCGCAAGTCAAGATGGAGTCAAAGGTAAGACTTGTGAGTAAATGTTTCATTGACATTCTCTATGATCCGAATACTAGAGAATTGCATAAGCACGAGGAAAATAGTGAAAAAAATTATAGCATCGAAGATGACGTCATTAGAAGTAAAAAAAGAACATGAAAAGCACGAAGAATCAAAAATTCCTTTGTTTATATGTGCACACAGGGGATTTAAGAATGAGAGATTAAATAAATCATCCTTCTAAAGGAACGTCGCCCTGAAAGTGTCCTTAAGAATGAGATGATGAGCAATGTAGAAAAGCAAAGTTGATATCATTCAATGCAATTGCGGAGAATAAAGTCATGGCACAAATTTTTGAATATTTTTCTCCTGACAGATTCCTTTTTTTTTCCCAATCAAACTCGATGATGTTTTTTTTTCGAGAGGGATAGTGATGTAGGATAATCATATTTCAGATAGGATTAATTTTATCTCTTTTCTTCATGTTTCTTATTTAGTATATGATTTTTTTCTTTTCTTTTTTTTATCTTACGTGGAACAAGATTTCTTTTTGTTTTTTATTAGAATATGGTTCTTCTTTCTTTTAGATTATTTTGTTTCCTCTAAGGATTTCGTTTTCTCTCTTTAGGATTTGGATTAGTTTCCTTTTATTAATGATATTTGGGAATTAGTTTGTCTATAACGAATGCTTTGTACATTTTCCAACCACTTTACAGTACAATCAAATTATTTTAATGAACTCTTTTGAGTTCTTAATTTTTCTTATTGTTTTCAAGAAACCAATTCAGCTTCTGTACCACGAATTATCCTCTATTGGTTTTATTATTAATATGGATATTTACTTGATGAGCCCAAGGTTCTTTGTTACAACTTCCAGCTACATTTCCATGTTCTGTAGCTTTTTCTTTTTACTCATTCTTTTTCTAGTAACAATCTGCGATGAGATGACCTCTTTTTCCACAGCCATGACATTTTTTACCTTTAGCTCTGGACTTAAACCTGGATGTGTACTCATTTTTGTCCTTTTTATTACTTCTTTATCGTAATGATTGAGCGTCGTCATTTCTAATTAATGTCCTTGTTAATGCATCTATACTTAACCTGAAAAAGGTGCCAGAAATGAGTTTTGAGGTGTTTGCTACCTAGGTTCATTTATGTTCTTTGTTCTTGCATCTTATTTCTCCAATGGAAGTTTTAATTACATTTTTAATTGAATAACTTTTGTTTCATTTTGAATCAGAATAAAAAGATGGAAGGCGCTTTCAAACCTTGGAAGGATCCTGAATGCGCTGCAGTGGAGCAAGAAAACTGTCTGCTTCCCCCTTCTCCTCCCCCCGAGCGCCGGGGACGAAAAAAGTGTGCAACTCCTTTCAAACCTGGAAGCAACCCTGAAAACCTCTCCTCCCCATCGCCTGGGAAGAAAAAATGAAGAACTCCTTCCTAACCTGTAGAGGACTTGCAGTGAAGAAAGAAGATTGTTCTTCTGCCATCGTCAAGTAAAAACAGAACAATGAAATGTTGTCCAGAAAGTAGCTGAGGGAATGTTATGCTAAGCTATGTTATGGTACACAGTAAATTGTGTATGTTGATGTGTGTAATTTACTTGGAACACTCAGATTAACTGTCAAATAATTACCAATATGTACAACTGATTGAGACTATAGTACTTATTAATCTTTGAGACTATATATCCTGTTTCTTTTATGTTCAATGCTTTAAATCTTGAAGTGGGCCAGTTGAGGGTTTTTCTGTTAGTGTGGCTCTCAAGTCCCATTATCATGTTATTGCTTCTTTGTTGAAGAAGATAGCTCTTATTTTTGTCGTATCCCTCTTGATACAGCCGAAATTTCATAGTTTAGTTGAGGATGTATATTAGCATTTTATCATTCTACCACAAGAAACATTGTTTCACAGTCAGAACTAAAATTAAGCATAAACTAGATATAGTAGTAGCAATCCCTGAACATGAGGTGTTGAGTCTTGAGCTTCGATATTGACATTGTCATCACTTCCCTGAGAAGGTTTGCCGGAACTGCCATGCTCGAAAATATCTGAAAGATTCCAGTACCCTTATTTCTTATGCTGCTACTTTGTCAAGACTGGCTAACCATTTCGTTCCCAAGCGATGCTGATCCCTTAGTTCTCCTTGGCATCTTCATGGTGTGCTTCAATCAGTTTGGCCAGCTCTTTTGTCGACTTGTGAGTCCTGATGAGCCTGGAGAACAGTCTTTTTGCTGGCTTGTTCATTCAGGCATTTAGAGATTCCAGCTCTACTTTCAAGTTGAAGAGCAGCTCGTCTTTCCTCGTTAACCTCTTCTCCACCTTAGAGGCTTGTAGCCAACTTCTTTTCCAGCTTAGAGGCACGAGCCTCGAAATTTCCAGTTGTCGCATCAGTATGGTACGGTGTGAAGGGTGGGAATCTGAGCAGTTAAATAAGTACTATTGACCGAGGGGTTATTTCTTCAATCCTGTTAAGCATTCATGGTAGAGAAGATGGATTGATTTGGCACTTTGATGAGAGGGGTGAATGCACAGTGCGAGTGAACTGTTTGGCCATCAATTTGGAACTTGTCCCAAAAATCCAATTTTTTTGGGAAGTGTGGACACTGCCATCTTAAAGTCAACATTAAGAGGCGTCGAATTGATACAAGTTTGGGATCTCGCCGATGTGAGATGGAGGAGGATTTTATGGACGTGCTATTTAAATGCAGCTCAGCTAAGGTCTTGAAGAAGGCGGGATGCTGGGAGCGGCAGGAGCCTTTGAAGGGGTGCTGCAATCGGATACCACGATTTTTGACATCATAGCAGTGTTGTTGAAAGTTGTTTGAATGGAACCCTGAGTACTATGGCTGATTTGGAGCAAGCAGAAACGGTGTTACAGTACAACCGAAGCATTGCTAGAGACATAGGCAGTCAGAAATC